AAGACAGAACCTGGCTGGAGATCCTGGCTAGGCTGCTGATCAACTGAACACTGTCTCAGTGCCATTCCTTCTTCACCGACTCCGTCCACACCTTTGGAGACCCCTGGACCTGCTGGGGTTGGACCCCAACAATCTAATATCTATTTTATCATTTGTTTTCTTATTAGAAAATGTTAGTTAACTTTTTTCAAAGTAGGGTCTGCCAGCCACAATTTTTTTTTTCATTTTCTTTCCCCTACAATTGACCTGATGTTCCTTAGACAGAAACAATTTTTGAATAATTTGTCTATATTTATCACCTTTTAAGAGATCCCATTTCCAATATTTTCTTTCCCCTACAATTGACCTGATGTTCCTTAGAAACAATTTTTGAATAATTTGCCTATATTTATTATCTTTTAAGAGATCCCATTTCCAAACGCCTATAACTATGCAGTAATTAAAATGAATGGTTCCATTTCCCAGGCGCAGTTCTTCAGAAAGGGAGATAAGGTGGAATGAAATCTGGGCCATCAGGGTTGTCTTTTCTTGAAGGTCTGAATTACAATTAAAAAAAAAAATCAGTCTACTGAGCTTATGAGCTGAGAGGCTGAGTAAATCAGAGATAACCAAAGCAAAGCACACCTGACCCAAATGAGAAAGCTGCCTCTCTGAAAAAACTTCAAATTCCATGTCGCCTTGGAACAGTTGGGAGAGCGATATAGCTGCTGCCTTATAGTTTTCAGAGAAAATCCCTTAGAAGCCACATTTTAATTATTTCTTGTGGGTTGTATAACATCTCTCTTTATGACAACTTGATTTTTGAAATGTTAGAAAAAAACCTTTCTCATTTAGGTAAATGTTATTCTCTAAGTCTTTAAGATTTAATATAGCAAATGGTATTTTTCACGTTACCAATTGACTTTTATTCTAAGACTTAACTTTTAATTGCCAACCTTTTCTTTGGAAGTTTATAATTTAAAAATAAAAGCATAGAACATAAAAGAGAAAAAAGTCAAAGGTTTATTTTATAATTTATTAGCATATAAAGAGACATATATGTATAAATCAGGTGAATGATTAAAAAACAGTGCAACAAACCTCCTAATCAACTAATCAACTCAGGAAAAAGTAAAGCAAAACAACAATTTGTATATTTGTGTATGACTAACTGTTCAATTCAACAACATGAGACATTACAAGTCAAATTAATTGAGAATGATTACCAAATAGAATGAGTATGATAAATTCTCCATGAGACAGGAGTTGGGAGAACTAAATTGGGCTTGGAACATTTCATGCATCTCTAAGTTATACTGCGGGGAGAAATGAAGAAAAACTTCACATTGATTTTGAAATGGGAGCATTAAAATTAATAGAGTTGAGTTTTAAATACCAAAGAATAAGGTTACTATAACTTTAAAGAATTACAGAATTATAAAATCTGAAAAGGTGACCCATCACGGGGGGTGGGGGTAGTATACTGGGTGGGAAGAAGATAACTCATCTTAATACAGGAAATTGTTTGGGGGTAAAATAAATAAATAAAGCTAGTACTCATGTAGTAAGGCATGCTAGCAGAAGAAAAGGCTGGTTCTGCTTAGATCATCAGAACTCCAGACAATGACAACGAGCAGTTGTGTGACCACACAATCCTAAAAATATGGTACCAACAAACAAGGCTTGCTCAAAACTAAATCAGTGTTAACATAACGGGTGTAGGAAGTGTGCGCTCTTAAATGATTCCCACCTCACCCCCACTCTTCTGTGGTAGTCTGTTTGGGACATAGGGAAATTTTTTGCTTGCAGAAGAAAAGTAGCTAACTCTTATAGAAAACCATAGACATGGCACAATTTTGATTATCTTCAATACTGTATCCTTTCTAGTGAAAAAGAATGAGAAAGCATCCTATTCTACAAATATTTTTGTAATGGTGTTTTCACCTGTTATGATATCATTATATACTTGTTAAAGTGATGAACCATTCATTACAATGGAAAAACAATAGGGCCTGCACTGGCTGGTTTGGCTCACTGGTTAGGGCGTCAGCCCGAGGACTGAAGGGTTTCAGGTTTGATTCCAGTTCTAGGGCATGTACCTTGGTTTCAGGTTCCCCAGTCCCTGTAGGGACCTGTGTGGGAAGCAACCAATTAATGTGTCTCTCTTTCACTCCCCCTCCTATCTCCTTTCCACTCTCTCTACAAATCAATGGGAAAAAAAGGATTAAATTTTTTTTTAATACAGAAAAGTAATAGGGCCTAGTTGATCCATTTATTTATCCAATTGCACCAATTGAAATGTGTGGTGTGTGTTTTTTTGTTTGTTTGTTTTGTTTTTTATGTAATCACCATTTATTTTTCTTTTTATAGAGATCTGTGTATAAAAACTGTTAATTGAAATGTTATGTTTATCATTTTGCAAAATGGATGTTTCTACTCCTGTGTGTCTATATTTGAGAAGCATAGAACCAGGATTTCTTAAATTGTGAAAATATTTCAATGTGAGAAGATAAATGACCCAATATCAACTTTTATATTAACTGCTCATACTTCCATATTTGCATGATATATTCCTTTTAAAAAGACAATAATGGTGAAAATTAAACCACCTCAGGTTGACATTTTAGAATTAGTGTCCCAAGTTAATATTCTTAAGGCAGGATATTCTAAAATAGCAGAAAGAGCTGGTGCTATTAATTTATCTAACTTATAAAATGTAAAACTAAAAAAAAACCTCATAAAATTCTGAATTGTAATTTATGATCTTATTAAACTCTATCTTTAAAAGATAATTCCATTTCCCAGAAGGAAGATAAAAGTCAGT